CCTCATCCTTCCAGGGCCGGTGGTTTCGGGGCTGGCCAGCCTTCCCCGGCCGCCTCTGCTGCGCTCGTGGAAGAGGAGTGCGGCATTTGCCTTTCCCCACTTGGCAGCAACGTCTGATCACCGTGACCTTTCAAAAAAATGAGAGAGCGGCCTCAGAACGGTGTCGTAATCTTGCCATTAGCACTAGACTGCAGGTTTTGAATGCAGGGCTGCTGCCCTCTCATCCTGGTAGACACTGGCGGTGCTAACAGCACGCCCGGGGCGGCATCCGGACCTCCCGGGCCGCGCGCTCCGCCGCAGCTTCCCGGTCTCGGCAGCGTCGGGGGTCGTTGCAGCCTGGGCTGGAAAAGCTCCGTCACCTGCTGCTTGTTCCACAGGTAACTGCAGGGTTCCCGGTACTGCAGTGATAAAAGTCTACCTAAATAAGCAGAAATATTTATTACTGTTGGTGTTTGCTTACTTCTGAGGGGATTAGGTTAGGCTAATCTGCTTTGTTTTGTAGGCGAACCCAACACACTTCAGCCTCCCTTTTTTTGTAAACGTTTTTCCTCTCTGAAGTACAGCATTCCTCGATGTGAAGGGGAGATGGACTCTGAACTGGGCTGAGCGCTGAGGCCAGCCTATGTAGGAGGGTTTTTGCACCACAGGAGTAGGAACTGGTAGGCACAGAGGTTGTCTTTTGTACTTTACTTCTAGCAAGAAAGTAGCGCCTGAGGCTGTTACTCCTGTATCTACTATGGAGGAGTTGACATGAAAAGTACTAGCAAAATTCTTGAGCACGCCCTCACTGTTTTTAAAACCTTATGACATCCCTTATTTTCTACACTTTTCCCACGTGTTTTGTGTTTTTTGCATATTTCTCAGGTCTGACCAAATGGCGGTGTTCTGGGTGAAATCTGAAGTTTTGTGTTGCTGTTTAGCATCTTCGAACACTTAGCAGATATCAAAGCAGCAGTCATTTACAAACTATGAGAATTAGAGACCTCTTGTGGAGTTTTTTAGATGTTGCATCCTTTAGTGTCGCTGCTTTTAAAAAACACTTCTGGTCGAGCTTTTAGTTTTTTGGTTTTGGTTTTTTTTTTTTTTTTTTTCCCCCAGCAGAGGGAGACATCTGACCGTGAAATTCAAATATAGCCGGTATTCTTGTAGCTTGTTTTATCAATATACATATAAAACTCAATGTTCAAATTAACTAGTTCAATAAGTAATTTAGCTCATTGATTTTTGGGCATATCCTAAGTGCCATTACAAGCTACGGATATTTTAAATGCCATTACCTAATAGAAGGAATGTTTTAAGCACCTTTTATTGATTTTATTACTGCTTTATTTTGCTGTCTTGGTTTAAAATCATTTTAACCACTCTGTAATCAAGAAGAAATATATCGTTGGTGAAATACAGTCAATTTCCTAAAAACCTTTGACATCGTTAAATAAGGAATTACAGTTGTTAAATCATGTCAGGCAATAACCAAGGGACAGAAAAGATATAAAATTTGGAGCAGTGGGCCAGCATACCAGTAAGCTATTTTGACCTTTGGCATTCCGACTCCGTATGTGACAGTCACACTTCAATTCTGTTCTTGGTTCTTACATCAGTCAGGAGAGATTTAAAATCTCAGCATGCCAGGAAGGTTGTTGAAGGATAACGGAGTATGATCTAGAGACAATTAAGGGGCATTTTAATGACCTGCTGTGACTTTTTGTTAAAATTACTCTCTAACTTAGCACATTTGAAGTTTCATTTGCTGGATTGTATTGCTGGTAGTTTAGTGTATTGATGTTATACACAAAAGGAGTAAATTGAGTCTGCTCGTAGGGATTTCAGTTACTTCCCTTCCCAGCTCTTTTGACTTGAGAAGATTATCAGTATTATTGAGCTAATCAGCTGGTAGATGTAGACTGGGAATACAGGCAATATGTTGCTTAATCAAAGAATTGAAAAGTAAGTAATGAATGTTGGTGCTCAATAAAAAACAGCTAATGAGTTGATTGCATTGACGCTTGATGTAATTTAACTGTAGAGTGGCAAACATCAATACTTATATGTGATTTGGCTCACGATTGCTGAGCTGAAACTCAAAGTTTAGAGAGGTTCTGCAGTACGTGAGCACCTGGCAACTGACCTGAAGTGGGGAGGGAGGGAGCGAGCTGTGTTTTGTTCTTTAAGTGGAACAAGTGATTCCATCATTAATTGTTGAGCTTTTATTCTGTTTAAAAAAAACCCACAAAACCCCAAACTTACACATAACCGTTTTCAGAGTATCAAGAATAATTTCTGGATTGAAAAAATGAGAATAAATTGTCGTAAAGTAGTTTAAAAATCAAATTCATGATTATAAATGTTAAACCAACCTCTAGTCTTCCTTTAATAATGACCTTGATAACCTCAAGGGGGAAGTTGGAGGCAAAGAAACGTTATGGTGCCCGTGGAGCTGGACATCTGCAATGTTTGTGCTAGCTATCCTGTTCGTGCACTGTCAGTTACAGCTGCATATTAAAAGAAAGTTCATATGCAGAAAGCGAGTGCTGTCTTGCATGGGGCCACCTGTAACTTCGTTCTGAATTCACTTTTTGCCATTATTCTCTTCCTTTTGATTTGTTAGGTGTTTTAAACTCCCATCAAGTGCAAGGTTATACTTACTGGTGGCACAGAAGGACATCTTTGTAGGCTTTTCTAAGCCGAGATCTGCCACTGTCAGCTGCTGTGAAGCAGCAGGAAGAAAACTGTTGGTACCCAGATTCTGCATAGTTTCTACATCTTTTGTCGTGTTCTGACCTCTTTTTCCAGCACTGGGGATCACACTTCTACTTCAGGAATGTTGGACCTTCCATCAGGAAGTAGTATTTGTCTTTAAAATGTGACATAATCAGGTGTTTCAGAAACTTGGTTTTTGTTTCTGTGAACTGTTCCGTGTCATGTTTGGGCCTGGATCCGTATTAATTTGTGACATGTTCTCTGGGCAGCCGTCAAGCATGGCTTTATGGAGTCTCTGCTTGCCAGCTGTTTTCTAATTTAACTAATACTGCCCTACAAAGCTACAATAACACAGCTGAGGGACACTTTTAGTGGCCTTATCGCTTGCCTTCTCCTTTCAGTCTGTCGATATTGGGGTAGGGGCAGAGATGGAAATTTATACAAGGGGGGAAAAAAACAAATGGGGGTAATTCTGTTGGCAGAATCACAGTCGTCTTCTGTTCCCTACAGACTAGAGAAGGTGTACATTTACTGAATACGTTCAGTTTGTATTTCTAGGTGTTCTTTCCAGTGATGATAGTTAGAAACATAACAGTGCTTTAAATGAAAACACCAGCATGCCACAGTGACAGCCTCAGTTCATCAAGGCCGTGACCTGAGCTGTGCAGTAGGCTACACCCTCCAGACTTACAGCCTGCCTTCTGTATAGCCCTTGGTGTGTATTTTTCCATCTTCCTGTGTAGAATGCTCTAGGAGAGCCTGCTTTAGCAGGAGGGTTGGACTAGATGATCTCCCGAGGTCCCTTCCAACCCTTGCGATTCTGTGATTCTCTGAGAAGGAGCTGCTGTTTGCTCATCAGTAGCCTCTCCTTGGGAAGACAGGCTTGATGATCCATCTCACCGAGTCTCTCCCAGATAAAGAGGGTTTTCTACCTACCTGCAGGGCAGAGTGCATGAAGGAAGATTGCATAAGCAAGCAGATGATGGGCTGTGGGCAGGGCAGGCCCGGGGTGTAGGGAGGAGGAGGGTAAATCATGCAGAAGGCAGTAAC